TTCTTCTTCTTCTTCTTCTTCTTCTTCTTCTTCTTCTTCTTCTTCTTATTATTATTATTATTATTATTATTATTATTATTATTATTATTATTATTATTACTACTACTACTACTACTACTACTACTACTACTACTACTACTACTACTATTATTATGTTCCCGGGAAAAAGTGTCCTGTTTGCATGTTGTGACTTTGTAAACAATTGACCACAGATTCTATTTTTCTTAATACCTGCTTAATTTTTTTTTCTTATTGGGGGGCTGAATTCTCTACTTTTTAAGGGATAAAGCCACATAAACCCTAAAAAATAGCATTTTTTTTTCTCTCTTGCCCTTTCTGCTCCTGCTGCAAACGTCTTTTGCAAAACAGAAAGGTGTTAGCAGAAGGGGAGGGGAGGACTTTTTATTATGGAAATAAAAAAGCAAGGGTAAATTTATTTCTAAGGAATAAATAAAATTATTTCCAAGGAGTAAATGCTGGGATTTCTCTCTCACTCCCCAACTTCCTGGCCGTTTTCTCCCTACCGATCCCGTCATCAACCTCAGAGGCAATCCAAGCAACTCAAACCTTAAATTTGCCTTTAATTTAGGTAAGTCAATTCACTCTCGCTTTTTGTTTACTTTTCCTTTGGATTTAGAGTCACTGAGGTGAGATGGGCGTCAGAGATTTTTATTAAACAACATTAACGGAACCGGGTAAAGGCAAAGCAATGGCAAAGTAGAAGGGACTTGTCTAAAGACAAGACACGAAGTAGAAGCCGCTTTTTAATCGTGATCAGTTAATGAATTCCAGTGAGGGACGTCCCAGGCCGAGGCTATTTTCCTTGTTGCGTTTTTGCCGTTAAAACTTTGAGTTCTGTCTCACCTCGCTGGACAATGGCCTTGCTTAGCAACGGAAATTCTGCTCCCAACTGTGGTCGTAAGTCGAGGAGTATCCGTAGCACTATCTACGTTTTGGTACAGATATAGGTTGCACGTATAATTAAGGTCAGGCTGCTTTATAAGAATGTAAGGTATGAGATGCTCAGGTCGCTGCTGGACAGCAGATTCGTATAGGAGCTTAACTCACCTGAAGAACCTACTGTTTTATAGGATATGGCTTGATCACAGCTCTGCTGAGTCCCCCGTCTGATATACATGTGAATTTATAAATAAAATTCACCCAGGCTGGCAGGGCTCGTGAGAGGCCTGCTTTTTAAAATATCAGGGTAGGAGGATACTCAAACAAGTCCTGCCACTACTCAGCTGATCACTTAGGTTAGGTGAGTTTTGGGAAATGTTTGGAAACATTTCAGGGGGGGGGAGGAAAGAGGAAGAAGAAGGGGGAAGAGAAGAAAAGAAAGGAGGAAAGGAGAAGGAAGAGGAAGGGGGGGAGGGGAAGAGGAAGAGGAGGAAGAAGGAGAGGAAGAGAAGGAAGAAAGAAGAGGAAGGAGGAAAAAAAAGAATAAAGAGAAAGAGGCAGAAGAGAAAGGAGGAGGAAAAGGAAGATAAGAAGAAAGAGATGAAGGAAGAGGGGAAGGAAGAGGAGGAGGAAGGAGAGGGAAAAGGAAGGGGAATGGGAGAAAGAGAAGAAGACAGAGGGGAAGAAGGAGAGGAAGAGGAGGAGGGGGAGGGGAAAGAAAGAATAGGAAATGAAGAAGTAGACGGAGGAGAGGAGGGGGAAGGGGAAGAGGAAAAGGAAGGAAAATGGGAGAAAGAGAGGAAGAAGAAGACTGAGGGGAAGAAGAAGTGGAAGAAGAGGAAGAACAGGAGGAAGAAGAAGAGGAAGAAGGAGAGGAAGAGGGGGAGGAGGAAAAGGAAGAAGAAGAGGAGGAGGAAGAGGAAGAAGGGGAAGAAGAAGAGGAAGACGAGGAAGAAGAAGAAGAGGAAGACGAGGAAGAAGAAGAGGAAGAGGAAAAGGAAGAAGAAGAGGAGAAAGAGAGGAAGAAGAAGACTGAGGGGAAGAAGAAGAGGAAGAGGAGGAAGAGGAGGAAGATGAAGAAGAAGGAGAGGAAGAGGGGGGAGGGAGAGGAAGAAGAGGAGGAGGAAGAAGAGGAGGAAGAAGGAGAAAGAGAGGAAGAAGAAGACTGAGGGGAGGAAGAAGAGGAAGAGGAGGAAGAGGAGGAAGAAGAGGAGGAGGAAGAAGAAGAGGAAGAGGGGGAGGAGGAAGAGGAGGAAGAACATCCCCCTCCTCATCCTCAGAATTCCGCCAGAAAAGGAAGCCACCTCGGGGTGGGGCGGCGGCGTAAGGTGCGAAGAACAATCGGGCTCGTGGAAGGCACGAGCGGGGGGGGGGGGGGGGGGGGGGGGGGGGGGGGGGGGGGGGGGGCACGGCCACGCCCTTCCCTTCCCTTCCCTTCCCTGGGACGGGGAGGGGAGCGATTTCCTGCGCGGGGAGGCCGCCGTCGCGACGGGACAAAGCTGGGAGGGGAAAGCGAGAGCGGGCCCTTTAAGGGGGCGGGTGGGGGTGCGGAGAGGCAGGGAGACGGAGCCAGAGACACCGGCGGCGGCGGCGGCGGCGGCGGACGCGGCATCGGGACAAAGAGCACCGGGATCGGGATCAGCCGAGACCCGGAGCGCCGCCCATCCCCTCTTCCCGAGAGAGAGAGAGAGGGAGAGAAAGAGAGAGGAGGAAAAAAAGAAAGGAAGGAAGGAAGGAGCCGGCGGGGGGAGGGCTTCCCGTTCGCCTTGCACGTGGGGAAGCGGCCGGGGGGAGACCGAGCCGCGCCCTCCGCTCCGCCAGCCGGCTGGGCTCCCCCCCGCTCTCCGCTCCCCGCTCGCCCCACGTGCCGCGCGGACTCCGGCCGGGAACAAAAGAGGCGCGCCTGGCCGGCCGTCTCGGGGGCTGCGCCGCTGCCGCTGCTGCTCCTCCGCTGGCGGATGGCGGCTCCCTGCAGCCCGGAGAGCGGCGCGCCGGGGGATCGGCCCCGCGTCTACTTCCAGAGCCCCCCGGCGGGGGCCGGAGGGGAAGCGGGCCCCGACGACGACGAGGGCCCGGTCCGGCGCCAGGGACGGGTGACGGTGAAATACGACCGCAAGGAGCTGCGGAAGCGGCTGCACTTGGAGGAGTGGATCCTGGAACAGCTGACCGTCCTCTACGACTGCCAGGTGGGCGCGGGAGGAAGGGAGAGAGAAAGAGAGAGAGAGAGAGAAGGAAGGCAAAGAGGGAGAAGAAAGGAAGAGAGAAAGAGGGATGGAAGGAAGAGAGAGAGAGAG